GGCTGTTCCTGTGAATCCTCCTTAAATGCTTTGCTTCATCATTTCAGGCCAGCTTGGTCTGATGCAGGTCCAGGATGTCTTTTGCTCAGATTAACATAAAGGCTGGAAGCAAACTTCCAGGGTAAAAAAGTGAGAGAATGCCTTATTTACAGTCAGCTGGAGGTCGGTCTTCCCTGGAGTCCTTTGGCTGAATGTTATTGTGACCATGAGAAACTCAAAGTTTAAACAGCCAACAAAGCCTTAAAAGTAACACTCAGAGAATTTTGGTGGTGAAATTTACGCCCCCATAAAAATCCACCCACACAAAGTCAGTGTCCTTCAGTGTCTCAGTGTGGAGCACAGCAGCAGCTGGTGGACACCACAGGAACTGCAGCTCCATGGCTGGACTAGATAACACCTCCCATCAGTTTTGTTTCTGGCTGAATAGAAATCCCAGTATGACCCCAACTGCTCCCAGTACGACCAGTCCACACACTGTCCTCAGGGACCAGAAGCTGTCGGTGGGTCTGGACTCATACAGCTCCACAAAAGCATCCTGGGAAAAAAGACAAACAGGAAACGCGTCATTTGTCGTATTTGTTTTTTGACAGATCAGTGTGTACTTTCATTCAGCTTTATTTACACAGCCTCAGTAACACATGCTGACAGAAACCAGCAGCTGATCACTCAGTGACATTCAGCCCGGCGTTTGATCATGTGATCAGTCTGCCATGACTCGTGTAGGCAAGCTGGTCACTGTGGACATCAACGCTCTCCAACATCAGTGTCACATGACTCAGACCTGTAGACACACACGCAAACACACACACGCAAACACACACAAACACACACACACACGCAAAGACACACACACACGCAAAGACACACGCAAAGACACACACACACGCAAAGACACACGCAAACACACACACGCAAACACACACACATGCAAACACACAAAGCCGGTGCTGCTGCTTCATATTGTGTGCAAGCAGTCGAGTGTTAACGAGGGAGTGTTGGGTTATTCCCCTGCATGCTGTGTGTGTGTGTGTGTGAGATATGAAGATTAGGGGAGAACCCTCCTGTGAAGCACTTCCTGTAGCTGCACTCTGGCCTCCAGCTGAGCTGCTGACAAACACCAGCGGCCTTCAGCCTGACAGGAAGCTGACCACCGCCTTTAAAGAAGCTTCACACCACAGAAGAAGAGCACATGCACAGGCTGGATGATTGACAGCTCACCTTTACCCTGACATCCTGTCCAATGGG